CGCCCCGCCACCCGCAGTTAGAAGAGGGGGTCATGATGCAACTCGCGGCGAGTGTATCGCGTACCGCTGATGCCGCTGCGCTGCCGCTGGGCTGCGAGGAGGGGTCACTACACCTCCACGCCAGTCAGACCCGCTCACGCACAATATGAAGCTCGCTCTGAGGCTCGTTGTTCGCTCTCGCTGGCCAGAGACAGACAGACAACCTTGGAAGACGCACCACCGGGCCCCTCCTCCCCCTCCCACTTTCCCGGAGCAAAAGCTCGATGAGGAAATTCTTTTTTACTGTAATGAAGAAACCCGACCAGCAGGCCTCCCAAACTTCTAGAAAAATTACCAACACGACCTTCAACCGCTAATATAGTCAATAGAAAGGAATTAAGCAGTGCCTGAGAAGAAAACTGAAGAGTTGTGGAAAGTTCTGTGTGAATATTGAGGCAGCTTGATGGGAAATGAGATAAAAGGAACTAGTTTTCAGCGGACCGAATACTGTTTTCCTAAAGGTATACTGTACTAATAACACCCACTCTCATATCCTTTCGGACTCGCTTACGGTGAATTTTGTGCAAACGTATTATGGATCCATAATATGGATAAAATTGTCCGTATTACAGACAACCTGATCCATATTCCAGACATGACCTCATCCGTAAGGTATGCCCCTTTTTCCATTGATATTCAGGATTTGTTTGGATCAGCCTAACATACAAAAGTAAAAGCGTTTGATCCGAGTCCTGAGCGCCAGAGTGTTGATTTGGGAACCTCGCTCGCTTCATGTGTCCCCTACGACCCCAACTAAATCCAAACAGAAACCTCCCCACGTGGAATAATCTAACCACATAATTATTTCATAGTTGCATCCTATTTAAATGAATGACACATGGTATTTTCCTTATTACGTTTTTGACAACGGGGCGACACCAGGTGTAATGCGTGCCCAGTGCACCAGCGCAGAGGGTTCACTGACCCCCCCTGGCGGGGGGGCGGGACCGACACGTCCACAGTAAATCCGTCCACAGAATTTGCGCGTTGTGAAAACACGTCCACAAATTTACATCCAATGATTTGGACGTAAATTAACAGATGTGTTTTTTACGTCCACAGTGTGGATGTACTTTTGAGGCTGGTGAAAATAGCTCCACAAAATATTTTGCCACTTGTCTCCTCTCCTCTCATTTACATCCACACGGATGACGTTTTGCCCTCACTCTGAAAATCCAACAGTACGACA